GTGCATAGAAAATCCTATGGACTCCACCAAAAAACTGCTTAACCTAAGAAATGAATTTGGGAAAACAGCAGGATACAAAGTCAATATCCAGAAATCAAAGGCATTTCTGTGCACCAACAATGAAACAGCAGAAGCAGAAATCAAGAAAAAAAATCCCATTTGAAACAGCAAAAAGAAAAATAAAATATCTAGGAATAAACCTAACCAAAGAGGTAAAAGACCTGTATTTAGAAAACTACATAACACTCAGGAAAGAAATCAAGGAAGACACAAACAAATGGAAACATATACTGTGTTCATGGATTGGAAGAATTAATATCATCAAAATGTCCATACTACCCAAAGCAATTTACACATTCAATGCAATTCCTGTTAAAATACCAATGGCTTATTTCACAGACAGAACAAACACTTCAAAAACTTATATGGAATCATAAACAACCCCGAATAGCTGCTGCAATTTTGAGAAAGAAGAATAAAGTAGGAGGGATCACAATACCTGACACTAAACTATACAACAAGGCCACTGTAATCAAAACTGGCTGGTAGTGGCATAAAAACAGGCACATGGATCAATGGAACAGAGCAGAGAGCCCAGAAATAAACCCAAGTCTCTACAGTCAATTAATATTTGACAAAGAAAGCAGCAACATAAAATGGAATAAAAATAGCCTCTTCAACAAATGGTGTTGGGAGAACTGGACAGCTACGTGCAAAAAAAAAAATGAAACTTGATCACCAACTTACACCTTATACAAAAATAAATTCAAGGTGGAAAAAAGCCTTAAATATAAACCGTGACACCATTAAAGTCCTAGATAGAATGTACCTAGGAAAATCCTAGATATTTCATGTAGAAACTTTTTTATTGACATGTCTCCTAGAGCAAGGGACATAAAGGAAAGAATAAACAAATGGGACCTCATCAAAATTAAAAGCTTCTGCACAGCTAAAGAAAACAGTTTCAAAATTAAAAGAAAATCAACTGTATGGGAAAACATATTTGCCAATGATACCACAGACAAGGGTTCAATCTCCAAAATATATAAAGAACTTACACAACTACACTCTAAGAAGACAAGCAACCCAATTAAAAAATGGGGAAAGGACTTGAACAGACATTTCTCCAAGGAGGACATACAGAAGATCCAAAGACACATGAAATGATGTTCAATATCGCTAGCTAGCAGAGAGATGCAAATTAAAACCATAATGAAATACCACTTCACACCAGTCAGAATGGCCATCATAAACAATGCAACAAACAAGTGTTGGAGAGGTTGTGGAGAAAAGGGGACCCTAGTGCACTGTTGGTGGGACTGCTGACTGGTACAACCACTATGGAAAGCAGTATGGAACTACCTCAGAAAACTAAAAATGGATCTGCCTTTTGACCCAGCAATTCCACTGCTGGGACTCTATCCTAAGAATACGAAAACACCAATCCCAAAGAACTTATGCATCCCAATGTTCATAGCAACACAATTTACAATAGCTAAATGCTGGAAGCAACCTAGATGCCCATCAGTAAATGAATGGATCAAAAAACTATGGTACATTTACACAATGGAATTCTATGCAGCAGAAAGAAAGAAGCAGCTCCTACCCTTTGCAACAGCTTGGATGGAGCTGGAAAGCATTATGCTAAGCGAAATAAGCCAGGCAGTGAAAGACAAATACCATATGATCTCACCTTTAACAGGAACCTAAACAACAAAACAAACAAACAAGCAAAATATAACCAAAGACTCTGAAATAGAGGACAGCCTGACAGTGACCAGAGGGGAGAGAAGAGAGAATTTCAGGGTAGAATGGGTAGGGTTTACAGGAACAAATTTAAAGGACACATGGACAAAAACTAGGTGGAGGGTTGTAATGGGAAGGAAGTGGGGAGGGTTGTGTGAGTGGGGTGGAGTGGGAGTACAAGGTATTAACCTGTACTTGAACAATGATTAAAATTAAAAAGAAAGAAAAAAAAAGAAATATATGCTTACTCTTTCATTCCCGTTACCGGTGTATGTGCACATGTGTGTTTATGATCAAGTATTGTGAAAAGATCTGATTAATACAGTATAATAGCAACATTTTGAGGAAAAAGAACAGAATTTTTCAAAACAAAACAGAAAATAAACTCTTAGCTTAAATATGCATTCTTAATACAGTACAGAATTAATAAATTATATTCTACACTGAGATAAATTCAGCATAACTGCAGAAGGCACTTTTTAAAAACTTAGTTTATTGCAACATTATTTACAATTGCAAGATATGGAAGCAGCCCGATTGTTCATCGGTAGATGAATGAATAAAACAGCTATGGTACATTTACACAATGGAATACTACTCAGCCATAAAAAGAAGAAAATTTTACCCTTTGCCACAGTATGGGTGGACCTGGAGATCATTATGCTAAGAGAAAAGCCAGTCAGAGAAAGAGAGATAACATATGGTTTCACACATATGTGGAATCTAACAAAAAATACCAAAATAGAACAAAGAAGCCAAATAGAAGCAGGCTCATAGATAGAGAGCAGGATGACAGCTAGGGAGTGGCAGAGGTTAGGGGTGGAGGGATTGATCAAGAAGGAAAAAGTGCTTATGGACATGGACAGTGTGGTGATTGCAGGAAAAGGGGAGTATAAGGGGACTAGATGGTAATGGAAAATATAATTAAAATTTTAAAAAATAAAATAAAAATAAAAAACTTAGAGTTGAGTATCTATGGTAAAAATAAGAATATCCATTTGAATAATAAAAATAAATAAACAAAAGAAAACTACAATATATTTTTCCTAGAAGGAAGGAGAAAGGTCTACACAAGAAGTTAAGAAATGTGGTTATATCGAAATCACAGAATAAGATGGGAGAAAAAGGTTCAAATATATGATTAATTTCAGCAAAATGTTAATGCATTAAACCCATATTTTTTAAAAAATATGTGTTTTGTGTAAAATTAGGGAAATAATACAGCTAAAGGGTGCTTATAAGTGGTTTCTAAAATGAAATATACAGTGAGTTGAAAACAAAGGCATGCAAAATGAAATAACTTGTGAGCACTTATAAAAAAAGCTGGTGCAGCAAAATTAATATTAGATCTATTAGAATCTAGAGCAAAAATAAAGTACTGGTGCTGATAAAAGAAGATAAAAGCAAAGACCTATAGAGAAGATATTATAGTCATTATTTTAATGCACATAGCTTCAAATATTAAAAATTGATAGAATTAGATGTTGCATTCACACTGCATGGTATAGAAACTGGTGGGTCAAGCAGTAACATTGGTAAGTGGATAGACTATTTGTTTGACAGAATTAAGTGACACAATCTAATGGACCCATGTAATGATTATATGCAATAAATAAAGAATATTTATTATTCTCAAATGTATAGAAAGCCATTGAGAGGACATAACTACTCTGTGTCCTAGGAGCTGGACCTGGGCCAGAGTGGAGTTTGCTTTCTGCAAACCCCTTTTCCAGACTTTCTGATAAGAATGATGATCATTCTGATGTAAATCACCACCACTCTCTTGCCTCCTGGTATGTTCTGGTTCCTGGAGTAGGTTATTGTCTTAATTTGGTCAAGTATGTAATTTTCATATCTGATGACATTCACGTACTAGTACCCATGACTATTCCCTCCATCCCCACCCATGACCCTTTACTAATTCTTTTGGCACCTGCCAAGCTATATGGGGATCTATTTTATCTTGCAGCCACCTAAGACATGACTTGTATGTAAGTTTTTCTTAATAAACTGTATTAATTACCAGACTATAGTGTCTAGTCTCTTTCTCACAGAGGTAGATTTTTAGCCTTGGGACTTTTCCCTGGTCTGAGAGTACCAGCAACCATTTTAAAAAGCTATTTCAAAGAATGAATTAAAATTACACATTCTCTCTTGATGATACAGTACAATTAATGTATAAATCATCAATGAAATGATAGTTTCAAAATACTCTGAAATAAGTAAGAATATTCCTCAAGAAAGTACAAGGAAGAAGAATAAAATCAAGACAGAAAATCATGAAATATACAACCAAGAAACAAAAGAAAGGACCAAATAGTTCTTGAACTAATTTAACAGAAAAACTAATCAAGAAATAAAGAAAAGGCAAAAATAAATAATGCTAACAACATAAAGCAGCCATAATTAGGTGGAGTAGATGTTTAAAGACAGTCACAATGGCACACTAAAATAAATGCTTTGAATACATTTAAACCTAGCTGACATGAGTAATTTTTTAATAATGCTACATTACCAAAATTGATTTAAGCTGATTGAACCAATAGCCACCAAATAAATTGAAAGAGCAGTTGAGAATTCCCTCAATGTAAAAAGGAATCACATTCGATCTACCGGTAAATTAAGTCTATGAAGTGGCAGAATAATTTATGTAAGGAATATTACTAAAATTGGAATATAAATTTAGCTTTTGTATTAATAAATAATATTGATATAATATGATAAAGTCACATAAATTTCCCCATATGCATGATTTCCGCGTCTTATATTATTCTCACTGAAATTTCTAGCACATTGTCCATCAAGTTCTACAGAATATGTCTCTTCTCATGAAGATTTCAGTGTTTTATGTTCTCCATTGTGCTCTATGACTCTGTGACTCTGTCTTGCATCAGTGTATTTGTGGGTATGCCCAATCCTCCCAGCTGGCCTGCACTGCAGCCTGTCTGTTGTGTCCCATATGGAACCCAACATAGTGTTGTATCCCAGACTGTATGATTATATCCAGTGGTGAGAGGATGTGTGGCTATTGCCTCCTCTGCAGAAAGCAGCAGTCATAACTGTGACCTTGCAGAGGGCAAGTGCAAAACAACATGTAGGCCAAGCCCAACTCTGCAAGCAGCTCCACTTGGCACATTGATATGACCAAGAGCAGAAAGGCACAGAGCTTCTCCTTGCTGCTACTGACTGGCTGTGTGCCCATTGTACCTCTCTTCACTCCAGCTCAGGTTTCAGCTTTCTAAATATAAGGTGTGCTCAGGGGCCCCAGACCACACTCAATGTCGACATTCAGTCTCCTGGCCTATTGGGGCAAAACAGTTTATCCTCAAACACTACAAATTGATTGTGTCAAATTATGATCTTTTGAGGAAATTTTAGAATCACCTTTATTTTAGAAGAACAAATTAAAGAGAAGAAATAGGTAAGTGACTATATCATGGTTGTGTTAATTTTTTTTCTCTGACCTTTAGGTTTGTTTCAGATGAAATAAATTGTGCATTGGGCATAAATTGGGCATTGTTTGTAGTTAAATACACACTCTTTTCCTTGATTTTTCAAATAAATACACTCGATTGCATTTTTGTTTATTACAGTATACTTGATTATAATTTAGTGTAAACTTTTCATTTCTTTCTATCAGATATATATTAGATGATATTATGTTGCTTTTCAATAAATATTAATGTAGAAAAACAAAAAGGAAACTCCCTATTATTAATATTAACCTCTCTTTCCCAGACACTGTTTCTCAGACTGCTCTTCACAGTCTTTCTGGTGCTTGTTTACGGGGAAAGCGATGGCATCAGTACCTTCCATTGGTTGCCTTCTGGCCAAAAATCAGTATTATCGAAGTAAGTTATATTATTGCCAGTGGTTACCCCTGGAGAATACGATCTGAGGTGATGTCTGTAGGATATTAGTAACCTTTATATCGTATCCTAGTCAGAACTGAAGTTAGAAGACTGACAACTGCTCTCAATAGTGAGAGAAATAGGAATAAAATTCATCAGAGTCCTCTTCAAATTAGTATTATCACGGAGGCTCATTTCTTCATTTTAATTATGTTATATTGTATCTATGAAACCATTAATACTTATAAATAAGTGAAAATCAGTTCATATTTCACAATTATATTTAATTTCAATACATTGCATTTAATAGGATACCTTAAAAATGAATACTTTTATAAAAATAAAATACTATTTATTTCTGAGAAAAGAAGGCATGGCATGACTATGCTGCAGGGATTTTCCAATTTCCACTTTGCTGCTATGGATAATAGGTTAGCATCTATCCTGCCAGTTTTATTTTTATGCATTTATGAGTATTTATAACTCAACAGAAAAGTAGCTTCTTAAAGAAAATTTGGAAATTTCATTAAATAAAATAATTATATTAAAACCAAATTATCATTTATTGAAAATATACCAGAAATATGTAAAGAAAACCCTCTTATTTTTAGATGCTTCCAAGTCTGTGTTGGAAACATCTATTTATATATATATATATTAAAGACTGTATTTTTTTATTATTTATGTTTAGAGAGGGAAGGGAGGGAGAGAGAGAGAGGGGAGAGAGAGAGAGAGAGAGAGAGAGAGAGAGAGAGAGAGAGAGAGAGAGAGAGAGAGAGAGAGACATCAATGTGCGGTTGCTGGGGGTTATGGCCTGCAACCCAGGAATGTACCCTGGCTGGGAATTGAACCTGGGCCACTTCGGTTCCCAGTCCACGCTCAATCCACTGAGCTACGCCAGCCAGGGTTAATATTTTTTATAACAAGGTTAAACTATGCTTGTTTACTTAGTGTTATTACATCCCCACATAAGTTATTTTTATATACTGATCTTTTAAAAGGTTTATAGATTTCAAATACAAGTATGATAACACAAATAAACTTTATATTTTTAAAAATATATTTTTATTTCTAAATTTGATAGCTTTTATATGCTATTTAAATATATACATGTAATATCTCTAATGCAATAAAATAATGTTTATTATTTACTTCCTAAAGTTTTAAATTTGACAACATTTATAACATTTTAAATTTGATATCTATATCCATGGAGGGAGAGGATAGGGAATGTCTGCCATGGAAAGGAATATAATATATTAGTAAAAAATTGAAATATGTCTTATTATTCCAGAAGGCATTTAAATTATTATTTAATTTTTAATTCATAAGTGTATGAGCTAGAAGTAAATAATTTCAAGCCATACTACTTGAGAGTTTAGAGATAAACATATGTATGTGTTTGTTTGTTATGTATTTATTTATTTATTTTTGTTTCTTTTGTAGAGGCCAGTATTTCTTCAGTTAGCTCTGACTCTGTTAATTTCACAGACGAGGACAAATCCCTGCAAGGTATTTAGTCTATTTCTTATCAGTATCACCCTCATTGTCTTTCTTTGCTTTTTAATCTCTCAAATGTGTTCTATAAGGAAGTAATATAGATTTTGTTTGATAGGGTTACCTGAAGTGGCAGAACCCAACTGGTGGTTTAAATCCTTCTTTTATTCTGAACCTGTACTTCCAAATGTAATAAGAAAAGATTTGTCTGCTAGTGGGTAAGTTTTAGCCTCTTGAGTGAGGGATATTTCTTACTTAGTGAATGGAAGTTTGCATGTAGTAATTATTAACCAATGAAGATAAAAGTGTTGTTTCCTGAGGATGGTGAAGACTTTGATATAAAGCATATCCATGGGATGGAGAGGGAGAAAGTGGTGCTCCCCACTCCAGTTAAACATCAGTCAGATCAGAAGCACTTTGTGTTATTCCACTGGAGAGTGATGGAAAAATCATGTGCTGATCTTTACTGTTGTTTAGGGGAGATAGATTGGGGATCAGAGGCAAGGTCTAAAATGTGTTTTTTAAAATTACTTCAAGAAACAATTATATAGTTGCTGTCCCTAATAACCTAAATTAGCCCCACTGTTACTTTTTTAAAGTGCTTTTGTTTTTTAGATAATAGCTGATAGTAACACTGATGACCAGTCATTAAATAGAATTAAAAAATGAATAATGATGGCTGGGGTGGGGGAAAAGACAGAAAAATGTATTTGAACAAAAATAAAATTTAAAAAATGAATAATTATGGAGTTTGTAGGCTCTAATGTAAAAACAAGGTTTTGATTAATTTTCCAATATAATAAATTTAAAATGGAATCAATTAAATATTGATACTTTTTAAAACCAAAGACAGACAAATTTTTGAAAAGATGTATTTTTTACTTTTTATCAAGTATATTGATCTGATTTATCTAGGTGTTTTACTTATTTTCTGCTTTGCATATACTCTAGACAGCCTGACTTTCAGATAAGCATTTCTCAGTTAATAATGTTTGTATTGCAATTCAGTGAACATGGTTGTAACAACTGTCTATTTTATACAGCACCAATTGTTGATTGTGACAAAGTGACTCTACCTGCTGAGGTGCCACAAATGTGAATAATACCCTCCAGCATGCAGGCTGTTCCAGATGACTCTTCTCCATTGTAAAAAGACAAAAAACCTGCCTGAGATCTCAGCAGCCACCTTTAAAATTCAGGCATTTTCTTCACTATTAAAATCATTACTATAAGTGTCATCAGCTTCATGGAAAATATTAGAAAAGCGTGGTTTTAGAAACATGTGTCCTTGTAAAGTAATGAGTATTCAAATGCAGTAGACTTTTTATTATCCATGTTATATTTTCAAAACAAAGAAAAATAATTTTTTAATTTTCAAAAAATTCATTGGACTCTCTTTATGTTTGTTGAATGATTTATTGCATTATACCTTAAAACCAAAGCATTAACATGAAACAATGGTTTAGAGGTCATTGGATTCAAACATGTAGAAGAGGTACAAAACATTTTTTTTAAATAATGAACATTGGAAATAGCAAACATACCCATAAGTGCATTACTTGTTAATTACATTACTGCACATTTTAACCAACTGGCTATTGTGTAGATTATTAAATTTATAATTTTAACAATATTTCACAACACAGAAAATTAATGGTACAATGTCAAGTGAAAAAAGTAGGATAATCTATACATGGTATGATTTTAGTTGTGTTAAAAAGATATATATGCCTAATATTGAAAGACAATGTTAACAAAATATGAACAGTGGCTATTTTTGGAGATAAAATTATGGGTGGTTTGCATTTTCTCCTTTATATTTTTCTGTATCTTCTCAAATTTTCTAATACCACCAGTTTTGTGTATAATTAGAAAATAATAAAATGTATTTAAAAAGAGGACTGGAATAAATTTTCTGAATGTGAATAAATCCTACATTAGTTTCAGCATTTCCTACTTTCCTCAATATTGGATAGAGAATATTTAATGAGTTTCAGTATAAAAGTTTCTATATACTGCATGCAAATATTTTTTAGTGTAAGATGATAAATGTTAAGAAATTAGGGATGATGTACTCCCCCAGAGGCACATAAACACTATGGTACACTATTTAATGCTACATTAAATATCCTCTAGACTCAGCACACATGATTGTTTATTATCCAGCTGTCTTCTTATCCAGCTGTCTTCTTATCCAACCACATAACTATGATATAATATCAAGACTATTCCCAGCAATGTACACTACTGACCATTTATTATTACCCTTTCTAAATGGGAAATGCATTGCTTCAATTTTGTGACCTTCTTTCACTTTGCAATCAATGAAGGTGACTCAAATATCATGTTAGCCCAGTAGCATATCATTGTTTACATATTATTGCCCTTTATGGTTGCTTGAATTTTATAATTTTTATATATGTTAGAGGTCAGTTAAAGTTTTAGATTATATATTTCACTTGGCTTTAGTCTAAAATTAAATTACATAAATTGAAGACTGATTTTTCCTAGAGTGAGAGAAAAATATGGTAAAACAAAATGGTAAATTTTGGGATGATTTGTTTTTACTTTCAGATTATCAACAAGTTCCTTTTTACTTAACAGCTTGGTGTATGTGGGAACAGGTTGTTTAGGTTATTTGATAAATTTCAAAAAAGTGTCAAAATTGTTGCTTTTACATTAGTGTTACTGTTGCTAAAAGTTATTGTTTAAAGTAGTTGACTTTTACAAAGTCTTTTTAAATCAAATATATTATCATGACCATATATAGTTATTAAGCATATTTAGATTTATGAGAATAATTATATCAATTGGTGATAATATAAGGAATCTTCCTGAAATATAATGTTAATATGAATTTTTAGAAAATGATTTAAAAATTGAAAGTATGCTATCCCAGAGATTCTACAGAATTAAGATGATAAAAATAAATAAAGAGAACAAAATGATTTCTAGGTAAATTCCAGTTAATCCTCATAAAAATTTCCAATATAATTAACTAAATTAGATTTTTCATTATAGGTTCTTATAGCCCATGTTTCTCTCCTTCGTAGCACTTATCATAATTATAATTTTATGTTTGGCTAGCTGCTTGTTTTCCCCATTGCACTATAAAATACACAAGGGAAAGGATCACATTTGCTCCATCACCAGTTTTTACCCAGATACAGACACATCAACAAGTATTTGTCAAATGAAGGACAACAGTTCTTGAGCAAGAACTGACCCCTCTCTTAAGAAGTGTTATATTTCAGTAAAGAAGAGTAAATACTAAATCAATAAAGAAAATATTTTTCAAATAGTGATAAATACTGTAAAGTAAACAAAACAAGGTGTTTTGTTGAAGAGTGATTGAGATAGGACAGAGGTTAAGGGAAGGCTGCTGTAACTGATGTAGTTAGGAAAGGACTCATTGAGAAGATGACATGGGAACTGAATTTTGAAAGGGGGGGGCAGCCAATGTAGGGAAAAGTACTCTAGGCAGAAAAAAAATAACCAGTGCAATTTACCATGCTTTACACAAGTCTGTCCAGTCTCCTGTTACACTGTGGTAAAGTGACAGCTGCTTTGGAAGAATTTGGCATTTTCCACTTGGAGATCAAATTGTCTATAGTGTTTGGTTTGTTTCCATCTAAACCCAGAAGGAGAAATGGTGAGGTTTGGGTCTACATACTTTCTCCTAAAGTTCTTCAGGGTGATCTATGAGTTGTTCCAAATCACACTTCATAGCAACATGAATGTAAAGTCACTAGTCATGTTAGGAATGTCTTGAGTCATATGGGGCACAGCCTGATGAGTGTTTCTAGTGCTTAAAACATTTTTTTGAAACAAGATAAGTTTTACCTTATTATTTTCCTCCTACCTTTCGCATCAAATGGATAAATACATTTCTATTATTTTAAAGAATTTTTTCTAGTTTCTTTTAAAAAATTGCCTTTTTAGAACTATTGAGTATCAAGGGATAAGAAAAGGAGAGTGCTACACAGTAATGTTTTTTCCTCAATAGTTCACAGAAAGAATGTGGTTCAATTTCGGTGTCTGAAAATTTTCTCCTCTTAAAGTACAATTATTTGATTTTCCAAAGGTTAAGGGAATGAAAAAAGCGTGATGTGTTTCTAATATGATCCTTCAAACAACTTTTATTTAAAGTTTAAGTACATTTTAACTAAATTTATTCCAAACAAATATGCATTTCATTTATTAAGAAAATGCCTTGCATTTTTGTTATAGCTTCATCTAAATAGATGGGATATAAAAGTTTTGCTTCATTTTTAATTAGACATATTAAAATGTATTTGCTTCCTTCAAAAATATTACATTTTGTATTATAGTAATTGTTTAACTGAAGTTGAATCAAGCAATCTGCCTACTGGAATGTGAATTTCATAGATATTTCATCCTTTTTACATCTTTAGCAGAGGTTTTCAAATCAGTGAATGAATGGTTACTGGAACTATGATTTGTATGTTAGCTCACTACAAAAGTTAGGTTTTGAATTTCCTTTGCAAGGAAGAGTGACAAACATTTTACTTTCAAATAAACCACCTTTGAAAATATTTGTGCAATCTTCAAAAGCATATTTAAGGTGCTATCCATATTTAAATTTCAAGCTAAATTTCACCATGAAAAGTGAAGAAAGATAAACCCCACAGAGTAAATTGATCATGTTACTTTGTTCATTTTCTTCTTATGTGGATTTCACATATCTATTTATCTTCTGTTATTGTAACCAAACAACCGATGAGGACCCACTGCCTGCTACCCACAGGCAATACCTCTAGAGATAGAATCTGATGGAAAGAAAAATGGAATTTTTACATATAGTTATAGATGATAGATGATATAGACAGATAGATGTAGATATAGATGATAGATATAGATATAGATATAGATATAGATATACTATAGATTACTTGATGCCCACCCCTACTACTAGAAGAAGGAGCAGGTTGCTGGCAGGTGGCCACTGCAGTGGTTTCCCATGACTTCACTGACAGGGGAAGGAGGAGCATGAGGTTTGTTGCTGGGGTTGCAGCCTCTCAGGACCTGCTGGCTCTAATTTCCTCTCCTCACCCACCACTACATTTTTATTAGCCTTGCTCTAGTACCTACAGTGTTTCCAGTCAGGCCAGTGTTTCCAGGTGCATGGTGCCTGGCCCTCCCTGGATGAACTGGGGACATAGCCATCTGGCCAGTACTAGCATGGGCCATAAGCAGGAGGCAGCCACCCGGACTTTCCAACTTGGGGAGGGGTGTGGGGGCTTTGCCAACCTGTGCCTCCCTGAGCCCACCACCCCTGCCTCCTCCCCCTCCATCTTACTGGAGCATGCTGCACTCCAGGCCCTCCCTGAGTGCCTTAGGGAGCACCACCCCCACCCCCACCTCGGGAAATGCTTCTAAGCTATCCAGTCCCCAAGGTCTGGGGCCCAGGAACTCCAGTCCCAGTCAGTCCAGAAGGATGAGAGAATCTGAGAGAACAGCATTCCCACACACTCTCCTTTTAAAGTCTTTGCCTCATCCCCATGAGGCAGAAGCAGATGGGAGGGTATGTGCCTCTCATGCAATCATCTTGGTTTTAGTGCCAACATTGCACGCCTTTTTGTGTGTGTTATGCACATGTTGTCCTGGTTGCTGGGGTGATGCATGCAGGTGCCATCTTTAGTGCCTCTATACCCTCCCCATTTCTGGGGTGGGGGTTTCCCTCACTACAATTCCCTCCTTTCACTTATAATCTTACAAGGGAAGATGGATGAAATTCTCCTTCTTCTGTAGTTACTTTCTGCTGACCAAAGCACAGAGTTCTACCTATCCCCTGGTCCTGAGGTCCCTAACAAAGGGGGTCTGTAGTAGATGGGAGCCTTCACATGAGAGAGAATGATCTTTCAAAGTCCATATTAGTTGGCTGTCCCTGGAAAGCAGGGGCATGTGTGTTGTCCAAAGGATGGCATTACTGGATGAGTTGTCATCCTTGTCTTGTTCTGGAGGTGAAAATTTGGCATGAGGGTTAAAAGGCACAGACAAAACAATAGCAACTATAACAAAGTGGGAACTAATTCTACAGTGTCCAGGATTAAGAAAAACTTGGCTTCCTTGGAAGAAGGTGTACAAGGCATGTCACACCTGTCTGAAGGCTTAGCACTGACTTTACTCAACTTAAATTTAGGCTTATGGGAATATCCTGAGATTCTTCCCTTTAACACTTCTGGAAACTTTCTGTTCAAACTGTTAAGACAGAAAAGAAAGCAGTTTTAATGTGAGTTGATAGACTTCCCTGTACTTCACCAACTCAACCATTTAATCAAGCCAAATCATTGAGTCCCAGGAAACATTGATGCAGGTGGGCTTCCTCAGTAGGGCCTACACCTTTTCTGAGTCTACAAGACTGTCTTCCGAGAAGATAGTCAGTTGCAAGTCCTTTGTTGAAATATACTAAGCACTGACAATTTGATATCATTAAGTTAAACCAGTTCAGCTCTCAGGTGAAAATAAACTTTGAAGAAAGTTAGCTGTACTAGAGTCTGATGATCATGACTGAGCATTATGAATATCTTTAAAACCTCGTCCCTCTCCCTAAGATCATTCTCTTAACTTCAAAAAAGACTGCCAGTTTTTAAATTTGCCACATAGTTTGCATAAAAACAATAAGAGAAGCACTGAACACATAAGTTTTTTTTCAGTTGTGCTTTGCTAGAACTTCCATAATGAACTTTCAGATTGACACTTAGATAGCCCTTCAGAGCATGGAAGCCATGCACCACAACTGCCATACAATTTTGCCTGCAGTACCTGTGTTTTTCAAATCCTTGAGATTCTCATCATGCCGTAAGGTTCCTCCATGCCATCTTTCAAGAAAGCAACCTTCTCTCCTTCCCTGGAAAGACTGCCATGAACCACACAA